TGCCCACCACGTGCTGACTGCACCACTGCCATCGGGATCGGATGGTAGTGCCCACCATTCTGTGGAAGGTTCGGCTCCCTTGTCAAGGGGGAGTAGTCAAGAGCACCCTGCGTCAATGAACAAACATCCGCCTGCTGCAGGAATGACTTCTCCTAACGAACGGGTCTGTAATAGCCGAATGGCCGCTGCTAACATTGACCCCGCCGGAGACGCCGCCCTTAGGCCGCCCTCCGGATCACGGCGCGTTGCGACTTCGCCCGCTCCTGCCTCGCTTTCTGGGTCCTTTCCATCGGAGATGAGGACCCGTCCGCTTGGTCCACCCCCGCCTGTGCCTGGTGCCCGCTCTTTGCCCCTTCGCCCTGCACCGGCTCCGCCGTTTGATTACAAGTGCGAGTACGCTTCGGATGACGTCCTTCTCTTCTGGAAACCTCCGCTGTGTTCTCGCAATGGACTCCCTCGGCTTTTGACGTACTGGGGGTACATTAGTCATGTGGTGAGCAATTTATGATGTATGAAAAAGCGAAATTGTTTGGAGATATTACGTCGTATGACAAACTTATGGCTGCAACAGATCCTAAGACACAAACGTTTTTGGGTCGTGCGTCCTTTCGACTATGCTGATAGGAGCATCGTCGTGAAGAGATCGTGCTTACGGGGTCGTATGCCAAGTTTGCTCAAAACCATGACATGAAACATCATCTACTAGAGACGGGCACCCGCCTCCTTGCAGAAGCCAGCCCCTTCGATCGTGTTTGGGGTATCGGCATGTCTTCATGCTTTCCAGATGCTAGCGATTCATCCAAGTGGGCGGCTAGCGGAAAAAACTTGTTGGGAAAAGCTTTGATGGAAGTTCGACGCCTCTTGCGTGATCATCCCCTATCTGGTGAAGGTTTCCCCGCTTCCACTTCTCCCACGCCCCCCATTTCGCCGCCTCGTCTCCATGGACATCGACGCATCCATGAGGTTGCTACTGCGGTAGGTTCGTCGTCACGGGAGGACCGGGGCGAAGACCCAGCTTGTCTACGTTTGGACGCTCGGGGGACCGTGCTCCTGGCGTTCATCTGGTGGCATCGACCTCCGCTTGCGTAGACCAGCCTCCTCTGCTCGAACATGGGCCCGATCTGGTCGGCGGCACGCTCCTGTTGGACTCGGACTCATACACCACCCGGGACATGCTGCATGGAGGACCTACAGCCACTTCTCAACTCGCGCGAGTGGCGCTTCTGGACTCTGGGTCTCCTGCGTCCTTCGTGTCCGACTCCGTGGTCACCGCCATGATAGCTGCTGGAGCCCTGACAGTGTTCGTGTTTCGCCCTCTCGTCGTTGGGGTGGGTTTGGTGATGGACCGCCCTTGTAACCACCCGGTCAATTCGTCTCACCGTTAATTTTCTCCATGGAGATCGAGCTACCGCTTCCTTGGCGGTCTGGGCCTGTGTTGTTCCAGACGCCGCCATGGGGCACGCCGTGCTTCTGGGTCGTGATAGCTGGATGCGCTTCAACTCTCGCGTGTTCACCACCCTCCCTCGCCGTGGACCGGACGGCCTGCTAATGGGCGAGCTCACGCTCTCTCCGCGTTTTACAGCTGGAGCTTGCGTTTACGCTACACACGACGACGCTCCTGCCTCCTCGTTTCGCCTTAAATATGCAGGGAGCTCGGGAATTTCCTTGGGGCCGGAGCCTGCACTCGTTGAAGTGGACCTCGTTCGTTTTGGCATGCCTGCGCTGATTGGAGAGTATCTGGTATCGTTTTAACCCGAAGTGGGTGCGCTTCGTCCCCAANCTGGAGCTTGCGTTTACGCTACACACGACGACGCTCCTGCCTCCTCGTTTCGCCTTAAATATGCAGGGAGCTCGGGAATTTCCTTGGGGCCGGAGCCTGCACTCGTTGAAGTGGACCTCGTTCGTTTTGGCATGCCTGCGCTGATTGGAGAGTATCTGGTATCGTTTTAACCCGAAGTGGGTGCGCTTCGTCCCCAAATGCGTTCGTTTCTAATGGTCTCCAGCGTATTCCCCTTGCAGGTTGTGCCGAGCTGGAGCCGGGAGACGTAATTGGAGTGTCCGCCGCGCATCTACTACGAGTACCGGTGGAAACCCTGAAGGACGCAACATCTTCGATTCCTACCGGCCCCACAACATCTACATCACCACTTCGGGTCAACGTCGTTGGCCCCAAGTCTGGGACTCACCGCTCTCCGGACCCAGCCTTCGCCCCGCCTCCTCCGAAGCCGCTTCCACAAGAACTACTTGACCGCTTGTCTGAGGCACAGCGCTCGAGCTTCATGCGCTTGTGGGCTAGGCTGCCCGCACATATGCACGACATCGCTTCCGATCTACACAATCCGGGATGGACACCGGAGGCTATTGATCGTTTGGCCGACGCCCTTGGGAGTATTCTGACGTGCGTTCTCTACTTCGAAAACCGATTTTGGTTCTTGCACCATCATGCCGTTCACTCTTTCTGTCCCAGCAGGGACGAAGCCCGTTGCATCACGCCCGTATCGTATCAACCCGTTGATGCAAAACAAAGTGGATGCCGTTTTGGACCAGTATTTGGCGGCAGGGCTCATCCAACATTCCACGTCTCCGTGGGCTTCTCCTTTAGTTGTCATCCCCAAGAAGGACGGATCGGTTTGCATCACCGTCAACTACAAACGTCTCAACGCTCTGGTGGATTTGGATTGGACAACCTCTCCCTCGAGTGTACGGTATCTTGGATTCTCTGTACACCGGGAAAGTGTTCTCCATCTTCGACCTCAAGTCGGCTTTCCACAAGATCGTTTGTGATGAAGACACTGTCCCGCTCACCGCCTTTTGCCCTCCCACGCAGTTGTTCGAATAGCTTCGGATGCCGCAGGGAGCCAACGCAAGTCCGTCTGGTTCGTCAAGGTCATCAACAGAATGTTGCACGGTCTGGAGCGTGTGCTTGCGTATCTGGACGACGTCATCTGTTTCAATGAGGAACCTCTGGGACACGTGCTGAACATGATCGAGTTCTTCAAACGACTGCGACAGTGCAACCTCAAACTGTCTCCAGGGAAGGCTCGCGTCGGCGCCACGCACGCTAACTTCCTCGGTCACACTATATCTCCGGCCGGTGTTAGCCCTGATGGCGTTAAGGTTAGGGCGCTCATGCACATGCCGCCGACGACGAATGTTAAGCAGCGTCGGAGCCTTCTCGGTGGACTCAGTTCCTACCGGATATTCCTCAAGGACCTCGCCACCAAGGTGCGGCCTCTCAACTCCCTTCTCAAACAAGGCGTTCCCTTCAAGTACACGCCAGGCATGGTCAAGGTTGTCAAAACGTTGTTCAGCGAACTCGCTGGCCCCCCGATTTTGGTCTTCCCGGATTGGGCAGCAATCGAGGACAACAGCCGTCCTCTTCGTTTGTGTTCCGACGCGTGTATCGACGGCTTTCGCGCCTCCTTGGAACAAGAGCAGCTCGATGGCTCGGTGAGACCCATCGTGTTTATCAACCGCGCTACTCTTCCTGCGGAGCGTAACTGGACCGTTTTGGATCTGGAGGCTGGTGGCATTGTTTGGGCCATCAAACACCTTCGCGGTTTTCTGTGGTCGACCACGTTCATCATCTATTCGGACCACAAAGCCTTGGAGAGCATCGGCAAGGTTGGGGAACACAACGCTAGGGTGCAACGATGGCTCGAGTTCCTGTCCAACTTCACCTACACCCTGAAATATCGGAAAGGTTCGGCACACGGCAACGCGGATTTTCTTTCGCGGCTGCCTTGACCAGCACAAGACACTGACAAAACCGGTCCCGACTGCATTGATCGTGTCGATCAAGCGGGTGTTTTCCTCATTGGGGCTTGCGGGCGCAACTATCACTCGTCGTCTACGCCGGAGGTCGGTTTGGGTGGGCTCCGCCCGGGAGTCTTTTCGCCCCCAGCACTACAGCCCTCCGATTTTGGGGATTTTCGCCGACATCACCCGCGTCGGTTGGATGCTCTGACGGACTCAACGACTGCCCGCAAGGATTCTCGGCGGTCCCCGGGGGTCTTCATCGTCTCGCCTGTTCCCGCGTCTTCAGGGCCTGCTTCCCCATTGACTTCTGCTGCGTCCCGCGTGATGTCTCCTGCCGCGTCTTTGGCGACTCGATATGTGCACGTTTTGTCTTCGCTTCCGGAGCGGGGACCGCTCAATACTTCGCGGACTCGGGCCAAAACTACCGCTGTTTCCGGAGGCACCGTCACCGGTCCCGCTTATTTCGGACGCCAGCCGCGGGCTACCATCGTCCCTCGGACATCGTCGCCTGCCCGTCGCTCTAGCAGGTCCCGCTCGACAAACAAGACCACGCGGACCGCCGCGCGTCGACTGCAGCCATCCGCGACGCCGGCATCGGCGTTTTCGTCGACTGCTCCTGCGCCACCGGTGTCTTCGCCGTCAGCGGCCCGCCCTGCATTCCCGATTTCGCCTTCTCTACAGGTTTCGCCCGGGACTTCGCCCCTCACGATGTCCCCTTCGCGGACATCACCACGGACTGCGGCTGCCCCAGTCGCTCAGGCTTCGCCTTCTTCAGCTTCTTCCGTTGGATCGCCTGACTTTCTTTTGGGATCTTCTGATTTGGACACCTCCCACTTGCGGGCTTGTGTTCAGAGTTTCAGCACTGTGGACTGGGCTAAGGAACAATAACGGGAGAGCGAGTGTATGGTGGCCATGCGTTTTTTGTCTCGCGGTTCTCCCTCCCCACCCCCTCCGGACTTGCTCACTCTCCGTGCTCCTCTTCGCTCCCCTCAGCTAGATGATGTGCTTGTGCTGGCGGCGAAAACCAGACTGCACACGACCGACGACAACATCACCCTCCTCGTCCATAAATCGGCGCTGCNCCCACCCCCTCCGGACTTGCTCACTCTCCGTGCTCCTCTTCGCTCCCCTCAGCTAGATGATGTGCTTGTGCTGGCGGCGAAAACCAGACTGCACACGACCGACGACAACATCACCCTCCTCGTCCATAAATCGGCGCTGCCGCCGATTGGGCGCTCTGGCGGCAGGACCACTCGTCTGCCGGATACTGGCGTGCCCCGCGTCTACGTGCCAACGCTAATGCGTCCGTGGGTCCTTCATGCATGCCATACCGCCGCGTCGTTCCATCTCGGCGTCCATCGTACACAGCGTCTGCTCGAGCGCTTCTACTGGTGGATTGGTTTGGATCGTTCCGTGCGTTGGTGGCTTCGGGCGTGTTTGGTGTGTCACGCTCGCAAGACTTCACGTCAGACTGCTCGGTGGCCAGTCATCACTCTGCCATTGCCGCAGGGGCCTGGTACGGTCGTCGGCGTCGACTTCTTCGGACCTCTCCCAGTGACTGCCAAGGGCGACTCCNGTTGTTCACAGACCGTTTCAGTCGGAGAGCCGCCATGTTCGCAGTTATAGCGGCGGAATTTACGGCGAAAGGGACGGCTCACATCTTCGTCAACCAATACATGACCAAGTGGGGATGTCCGACTACGTTACTGTCGGACAACGGACTACATTTCTGCTCGAAGCACTCCATGGCGATCTACGAGGTGATGAAGATCAAGAAGGTCACCACCAGCTCCTACCACC